CAAAGTGTGCTTTACACTGACTAGCCTCGTGAGATGCCATCATCAGCTCCTTGCCTTGCAGCGACGCCGCCATCCTCTCTGAGAGAATTCTCCATCGCGCCTCATCTCTCCCACAATCGCCGATTAATCTCCCGGTTAAGCAGATTCTCGGATTAAGTGGCGCTCCCATATGCGTCACGCAGATGCGTGGATACGTGCGCTCCGTGAAATCGACCGCGACGATCCTCTCGCGTGCGCGACATGACGCGGCAACGAACACCAGCGCGCCACATTTCATCGTCAAAAATAGTCTGAGAATCGTGGAAGAGAGAGAGACTTGTACTCCTCGCGGTTGTGTGGCGGATGAGTCTGCTGCGGGAATCTCGGATCAACTTGAGCCAAAAGAGCCAGCGTGTTTTGGTGCATTGACCTTTCTCACGATTTTTAGAGTTGTAAAATGAGCCAATATATGTAACATTTTGCTGTCGAAAGGACGATAGGGTGCAGCGCTCTGTTTATTACTAATTGTAAATGAGCTGATGTTGTTCCTTTCTCTGAGAGAGAGAGAGAGCGATCGGTAATCTTTTTTCGTCAGGTATATATCATAGCCTACAAAATTTCACTTCGCTGTCGTAAAGCTACGATTGCGTCGCGTCGTCTTCGTGACCGCGAAACGCGATACTCGAAGAGGCGTATACGATGTCCCATCTTTTTCTTGTTTTCTTTTCTTCTCGCCCTTCGATCGACAGTTGCATTTTTTTACACACAATATAGTCGACGTGACAACAAATAAATGCTTATCCTTTACCCGTTCTCTACCTATCTACACCCTCATGCCGAAGAGTCGTGCACTTTCAAGTTTGCATCTAAAGTCGTATGCTACGCGAAGAGAAGCTCGAAGCAAATCCGTGTAGTTGGAAGAAGCATTGAACGAGGAAGGGTATGAAAGGAAAAACAAGAACGAAAGGATAAGAAAGCAAGAGGAGAAGGGAAGGAGAGAGAGAGAGAGAGGGGGGGGTGAGTGCGATCCTCGTTTCGACGGGATGAGAATAAGGAGCAGTTTATTTTCGGCGGCCATATGTGCTGGTTATTTCAACAGTTTGCGCAGCCATCCTAAATAGAAGCTGCAGGCTCGTCTTCGAGGAAGATGTTCTCCGCTTGACGTTCTATTCCAATACGATCATCGGCATCGTATCAATTTTCCAGGAGATTTTAAACATTTTGGAATTTAATGAATTATATAATTATAATATAATATAACGAATCAGTATTATGAATTGATATAAGAAAATATAGATTGTATATACGTAGATAATGGATCCGATAAGTGTAATAGCAATGGCTGTAAATTTGATAGTGTGTATTTCATATCTTGTTTCAAATTAATATTTCTATTAAAATGAGATTAGATTGATTGCCGTTGTCATCGCAGTATATTTCTAACGAAAAATGGTATTTCTAATTTTGAAAATGGTGCGTGCGATAAAAATTGACTCTCTCGAAATAGAGTATCGCCGGAGTGTGAGGTTTCATCCATTCTCCATTCGCTAAGTATAGCTGCGACAGGTTGAGAGAAAGAAACCGGGCACGCTGTTCCGAGCGTTCGCATATTAGTCGGAAACGCTATTGGACGAAGAAATAGCGAGCGAACGAAAGAGAGGGCAAGTACAAGCATTGGGATGGCATAAACATATAATTGGCCGCACTTAAATCTCTATAACGTGGTAGTAAAAATGCGTGGTACGCCGCGTAAATCAACATGTAGACGATATGGCTCCTACCCCCGTCGTTGACGTTCACCGCCGAGAGCATCCTCGTAAATGTGTCGTACGAGTACGCATGTGAATGAACGCATTCACGCGTATGCACTTACCAGCAGATTTCTGTGCCGTTTTGTATACACTTTGTTAAAAAAAATATTTATTTATCAATATCGTCGCATATGATGTGTAGGTGACCGCTATAAATTTTTACAATAGATACATAATGTATTCATGTACTATGAATAATTATATTTCTTAATGAATAACTATAGTGATAATTGAAAGTCACAATTTTTCATTGCAAAGAGAAAAGTAATAAAGCATAATTTCTATTAATTTTACGGAGCTAGATGGAAGAAATGTATTTCAATTATAATGGAGCATTAAAAGAGGCTTAAAATCTTCCTAAAAAAAAAAAAAGAATATTGCTAGATTCTATTTACACAAAGTTCATAAATACTTCGAATAAGCTTGTAAGGACGAAACCGTGGGTTGTCGATCACGATCTTGATCTCATGACGCGTGGTCGATTGCAACGACGAGAAACGACATTACATTATCGATGACAGCTTGTGGGCGGATGATCGCGCGTGAAATACCAGTGCAACTGGATTACATATGTACATCAATATATCAGAGAGTATCTAAAGTCAAATAAGATTTTAACGACCTGTCATGGAAAATACGCGTTATACATTTTGATGAATGAATTATCGCAATCATAACGTAATATTTTTCCAATGCGGTTTTGCAAACATCTCATGTACTAGCGATAAATTTCAATATTTTCACACATTTCATATATATATATATATATATATA